GCTTCTCTTGGGCATATACCTAGGAATGGAATTGCTAGGTCGTAGGGTGGTAATGACTAACTTAAGAAAATACTGCATAGTTTTTATGTGGTTGATCCATATAATGTTCCTTCCAGAAATGTATGAACATTCCAGTTACTCTGCATCCTCTTCAACACTTGGTATTATCAGTTTGCCATTCGGGCAGGTACCATGGTATTATTCTGCATTTCCCTGATGAATAATGATGTGACAACCTTTCCATATGTTTGTTGGTCATTTGGATATCCTCTTTTGTGAAGTTCCTGTTTAAGTATTTTTCCCATTTTAAAAAACTGAGTTGTCTTTTTATGATTGCTTTTTAGGGGCTCTTTCTTTATTCTGGTATGAGTCATTTGCTAAATGTATATATTGTGAGTGCATTTTTTCAAGCTGCAGCTTATTGATTCACTTTCTTAATGATGCCTTTTAACCAATAGTTCTCATGTTTAACAAAGTCGGGTTTATTATTTTTTTCTTTTCTGTTTAGGGTTTTTCATGCCCTCTTTAGGAAATCTTTGCCAATTTCAAAGTCATGAAAATATTCTTCTTTGTCCTATTCTAGAAGCTTGATTGTATTTGTTTTTAGATTCAATGCCATGATCTATCTTGAATTCACTTTTAGGTTTTGTGGAAGAGAGGGGTCATGGTTGATTTTTATCCACAGGTTATCCAGTAGCTTCAGTACCATTTATTACTGCAGTAGAATCTTTGTCCCAAACCATTATATATTTCTGGATATTTATTCTGTTCTTTTGGTCCCTTTGTTGTCTGTCCTTGCATTAACACCACACTGCTTTGATTACTGTAACTTACTATAACTATGTATTGTCTTAATATCGGTAGTTTAAGTTTTAAAATTTTATTCTTATTCAGGACTATTTTGGCTATTTTAGATTCTTTGTATTTCCATATAAATTTTATATCATGGTTTTCATTTCCTAAAAAATAACTGCTGGGATTTTGATTGGAATTGCATTCATTCTATAGATTAATTTGCAGATAATTGACACCTTAACCACATTGAGTTTCTAATCTATGAACATTGGAAATTTTGTCGGTTCATTTAGTTCTTTCTTTTCCCTTGGCAGTATTTTGTAACTTCTGTTTTAGAGGTCTTGCACATCTTTCATCAGGTTTGTCCCAAGACATTTAATTTTTTTGAGTGGAAATGGTGGAGAAACACAGACAAAGGTGCCCAACATGCCTCGGTGGCTCAGTTGGTTGGGCCTCTGCCTTTGGCTCAGGTCATGATCCTCGGGTCCTGGGATCAAGCCCCTTGTCAGGCTCCCTGCTCAGCGGGGAATCTCCTTCTCCCTCTTTCCCTCCCCCTGCTCGTATGAGTGCATGCTCTCTCTCTCTCTCTCTCAGATAAATAGATAAAATCTTAAAAAAAAAAAAAGTTACCCAACATCATTAGTCATCAAAGAAATGAAAATTAGAGGCACCTGGGTGGCTCAGTCAGCTAAGCATCCAACTCTTGATTTTGGCTCAGGTCATGATCTCAGGGTTGTGAGATCAAGCCCCACATTGGGTTCTGCACTGGGTGTGGAGCCTGCTTAAGATTCTCCCTCTACCCCCACCGCTGCTTTCTCTCTCTCTCTCTCAAAAAAAAGAAAAATTTGAAAATTAAAGCTGCAGTAAGCTACATGTCCACTAGAATATCCCCCCCATAGTAAAACAACAACAACAACAAACCTGAAAATACCAGAGATTGGGAAGAATGTGAAAATTCTAACTCCCATTGGTGGGAATGCAAAATGGTACTGCTACTTTGTAAAACAGTTTGGGCAGTTTCTTACACAGTTCCACTCCTAGTTTTTTACCCAAGAAAAATAAAAACATGCCCATACAGAGACTTGTATTGGAATGTCCACAGAAACTTTATTTATATTAGCAAAACTGCACAAAGTAAGCTATAAACATAATAACATTTCCCGTCATAGAGCATACTTTAAAATCATTCCCAAACACATGAAATGCTAACATGATTAGCAGTATTATCCAGAGTGGATTAAAAGTCCATTGATTATTATCTCCTGAGCCAACCTTTAAAATAGTCTCTAGTCAAAACAAACAAGCAAACACAAAAAATTCTTCAATTTTTAGGTCCTTGGTTAATCTGAATATATAGAGGCATCTGACATAGCCACAGAATAGTTACTGCCATTTGTAATGATCTATAATTTTGTTAAAACTTTCTAATTTAGTAAAAATGAGGGATAGGTAAAGCAGCTTACTGAATGGCTGAGACCCAGCTATCCACAACTGGACTGAAAAGATGCTCTGCCGAAGAGTAACAATGGCATCCCTTTAAGTGATATGAAACGAGTGTTGTTCATAATTTTAAAACATTATGTTTTATACTTTTTTTAATTGTAAGAAAAAGTTTTTTTACTTCATTAAAATATGCTGGTCTAGATCTGTGCCAGATACCCTTAAATGATTAACAAATAGTAAGAACCTAAGAAACCAGCAACAGAGATCATCTGATCAATATCTTGAAGGAAGAAAAGTTTAAATAAAATAAGAACTTTGGTTGAAAGACTGTTTTCCTGTCCCGAGTGATTGAGTTAGGGAAGCTGTTGATAGGTAGGGAGGAAGAGAAGCCAGCTTATGGCTTTATAGATACCCGCCACTTAATGTGTTACATATTAAAATTCTCAGCTTCATTTCTGTTTAAAACTAAACAAATCAAAACTAAATTTGCGTGCAACATAACATTCATGTTTATTGAGTTATAAAGTGATTCTGCCTCTTAAGTAATAGAAAAATACCTGCTGTTTATCTAGAATGTAGAAGGATTTTGGAATTTGTAGTTATAGAAAGTTTATATATACATAATATTATATGTGATATATATTATACATATAATTTCAGTTACTAATTTTCAAAAGAATTAACAGATTATGTACTATATACTATTATATAGTATAAAATAAAGATACTTAATGTGAAAATGAGACTGAGAGTACATTAATCTTTCTTTCATGATCCAGAACACCCCACCTAAAACTGAGGGCACATTAACCACAAACTAATATGAGATGTAATCCCAAATTAAGAAATATTCACTCCTAGTGTTACTTTGCATGGAATTGTGATCTGTCTTGCCACATTTTAACATTAAATATGTTTATCTTAAAGGAGGAATATCACCAACATAACTTCACAGAAGTGCTCTCTCCCAACATGTACAACAGCAGACTCTGGGAAACCTCAGGTCATTGGCAGCATTATAGTGAGAACATGTTTACCTTTGATATTGAAAAGGACACGTTCGCCCTTAAGCCCATGAACTGTCCAGGGCACTGGTGAGTATTAAAAGTGAAGCAGATCTTTGCATAAGAGCACATAGCACACTTCATCACAGTCAGCTTTGAATATTACTAGTTTGCTTTTTTGGAGTTAAGGGATTCCTTTAATCTGAGGAGTGGTGGCTACCAGTTATCTTTACCAAGTTATTTCATTCTGGAGAGTACATTTACTCTTTAAGATATGTTTGATCTTGCGCAGGTGTAGAATGTTAACTGGAAACCATTTAGTTTTTGTGCCTCTTTGAGATAGAATTATATATCAATTTTATAAATTATTATATTTGTTTCTGTAATAGTAATATACATCAAATACACATATTTGCAGAACATTTAGTTATTATATACTGTTTGGGTTGATTAAAACAAGACCAGTGAAGTCATAATCAGTGGGTTACTGGATTTCATTGATTCTAAGATAACTTCCCACCCACTCCCATTTCAACATCCCTGAAATCAGAATGCATCATATTATCAGGGGCCTCTTAGCATTATGTCATAACTTAATGGTTATTTCCTTTCTAGTGGTACATAATATAGTGATACATCTTACAGTGTTGTCTTAGATTCTTTGAATGAATGTAATTATCATAAAGCTGGCATGCAAATTCAACCTTGTAAGACAAGCATATTTCACAATAGGATGTGAACAGACATGAGTATCCACCAAAAAATTTCCCAAGTATTGTGGTTTTGTATCATCAGCATACATAGTTTCAAGTACATTGGCCTTAGAAGGTAACTATAAAACCTCAAAACAAACTGAAGAAATCTTTTTGCCCTTTAAAGACTAAAAGAAATTCAACTTTACAATGACAGCATGTAAAAAATATATACTTAATTTTGTGAAAACTGGTGTGTAAACATCTGTTTGCTCTCTTTTTAAACAGAAGGTGGAACTAACCTAGAGTCTTGCATTCTGTGAAATACTGTTAACTTTTTAACTCAGTTTCCTATTAGGTACCATTTGAAGCTATAGCCTATGATTTCAACTATAGTTATAAGTAAGCCTGAATGAAGGTAGGGAATGGAATTTTGATCTTCATACCTTGGAATAAGGAAGTAGGATCACAGTGGCTTAGTGGTGTTGGGGTGAGAGCCAGGAGTGGTTTTTTGTTTTTTTTTTTTTTCCCCAGAAGAGAGGTCTTTTACTCAACAGGGAACACTTGTTGAGTGCTTATGGCGTTGGTGCTAGGAATGCAGAGGTGATTAAGACACCGTCCATTTCCTTAGGGAGCTCATGAGCAGAGTGGGACAGAAGCAGATATGTAGACAATCAGTTATGAAAAAGTAAGTTCAGTGTCAAATTAGTGGCATGTTCCAGGTGATCTTAGAGCCTGAGGAGAGACTGCCTAGCCCCATCTAGGGAAGTGTCCAGGGGGCCTTCACTGAAGAAGTAGCCTTTGAAATGAATTGTACACAGTAAGTAGAAATTCACTGGGTGAAAAAGAATAAGGAACAGAATTTCTGGAAGAGATAACAGACAGGGTTCTTTCTCAGAGTGCTGCAGTGATATAAATTCAAGGTTCAAAAATTCCTAGAAGATTTTTTTTTTTTTTTTTGAGGGAGAGTGAGCATGGGGAGGGGCAGAGGGAGAGGGAGAGAGAATCTTAAGCCCCGATGTTGGGGCTCAGTCTCACGACCCTGAGATCATGACCTGAGCTGAAATCAAGAGTTGGATGCTTAACCAACTGAGCCACCCAGGTGTCCTTGAGGAATTTTAACTGTAACTTATTAATATTTAGATAATTACTTAATCTTTTCTCTGCTAAGTAAAAGCCGTGTGTTGTTGCATCTTTTCTAGTCTAATGTTTGCTCATCGTCCACGATCATGGAGGGAAATGCCTATCAGATTCGCTGATTTTGGAGTTCTTCATAGGAATGAATTATCAGGAACTTTAAGTGGTTTGACTCGAGTTAGGCGCTTCCAGCAGGATGATGCCCATATCTTCTGCACAGTAGAGCAGGTAAACGGTAATACTGGGTGAAACGTGGTTGACATAAATTCAGTGTGTTGCCTTAGACACATCTCTTAGTTTCAGAGTCGCTATAAAATAAGATGTCTGTTCTCATCTCTGAGGTCTCCTTCAGCTCTAACATTTTTGATCCTCTAATTTGGGTAATAGATCAGTAATTTCTTGTCATGAAATTTATTATCTTTTTCCATCAAGTTTCTTCCAGTTTTATTAACTTAAATACATTAAGTGGAATATTTTAAGGGACTTGGTAGAATTTTGGTTTTTCTGTTTGTTTGTTTTTCAATATTGCCTAGAAGTGAGAGCTTACTTTTTCAGGTTTTCATGTCAGTTCAAATAAAAATTGCCATGAAATAGTACGCCATCAAATGATTTGACCTAACTGACACTCAAAGAACACTTCAACCAATAACAGCAGAGAATGCATTCTTTGAAAGTGCACACAGAACATTTACCAAAATAGATCATATTCTGGGACTAAAGGAATTCTCAATAAATTTAAAGGGTTCAACTCATACAAAATACGTTCTCTGGCTACAGTGGAATTAAAAGTCGAAATCAGTAACGGAAAGCTATCTGGAAAATCCCCAAATATTTGGAAAGTAAATAACATGCTTCTAAATAATCCATGGATCAAAGAAGAAATCAAAGGGGAAATTAGAAAATATTATATATCAAATGAAATGAAAGGAAATACATCAAAATTTATGGGACACCATTAAAATGATACTTTGAGGGACATTTATAGCACTAAATGCCTATATCAGAAAAGAAAAATGGTTTCAAATCAGTAACCTCAGCTTTCACTTAGTAGACTAGAAAAAAATACTAAATTACATCAGAAGTAAGCAGAAGAAAGAAAACAACAGCAGAAATCAATGAAATAGAAAAGAAAAACAATACAAACTTTCGGTAAAAAGCAAAGTCTGGTTCTCTGAGAAGATCAATAAAGTATAAACTTTCAGTCAGACTGATCAGAAAAAAAGAGAAGATACAAATTAAAAATACTAGAAATGAGAGACATGACATTACTTCAGATTCTATAAATAGTAAAAGAATAATAAGGCAATATTATGAACGATTTTATGCCAGTAAATTTGTCAACTTAGATAAAACGGACAAATTCTTTGAAAGACAAACTACCAAACTTTGCTCAAGAAGAAATAGATAATCTGAGTACCCTTTGTCTATTAAAGAAATTGAATTGGTAGTGAACAGGCTTTGCACAGAGAAAACTCCAAGCCATGATGGAATCCTTGTTGAATTCTACCAAGCACTGAAAGAAAAAATAATACCAATTCTTCATATCCTTGCCAGGCATTAACAAGGACCTCCCACACACTTCATAGTGCCACTGGAGACAATGTGGGCTTAGACTTCCACCATCATCTGGCAGTAACAAGGTGCCTGTTCTAGTCCCTGTTTTGAGTGCTGTCAGAGGAGGTCTAGTGGAGAGACAGGACTTTTACTACCACCCCACAGTAATGAGGTCATGCATTCAATGTGGTCAGTAATGGCCACATGAGGAGCAGTAACAAGATACTCCTACCTCTCCCTGGCAACGTGTTATCAGAGGAAACCTAGTGGGGAGCCATAAATCCCACTGTCACTATCAGTAATGAGGGGTTCCTACTTTTTTCATGTGTCCTCAGTAGAAAACCTAGACCATCTATTCCTACTTTGCAGTAACCAGGAAGTACTTCACCCTCCCTGTTGGAGCAGAGTCTGTGGGAGCCAGCTAAAACAGAGGTTTAAATAAAATTAAAGGTCTTAAACTATCCAAATTTTAAATTTTATAAATCAAGAGTTGTTCATGCCAAGAATTAGGAAAATCTCAACTTAATGAGAAAGGACAGTCTACACTAATGTGGAGATGACAAGGATATTGCATTACCTGACTAAGATTTTAAAGAAGCCATCATAAGAATGTCTTACCAAGCAATTACAAATACACTTGAAAACAAATGAAAAAATAGCCTCAAGAAAGAAATAGAAAATCTCAGGAAATAAATAAAAGGGGGGTGCCTGGGTGGCTCTGTTGGTTAAGTGGCCAACTCTTGGTTCTGGCTCAGGTCATGATCTTGGGATCCTGGTATCCAGCCTCCACCTCACATGCTGGGTGTGGAGCCTGCTTGAGGATTTCCTCCCTCTACCCCTTCCCCTGCTCTCTTTCTCTCTCTCAAATAAGTTTTTTTTTTTTTAAAGAAATAAAAGTTATAAAGAAGAACCAAATGGAAGTCTTAGAACTGAAAAATATAACAACTGAAATAAAATAGTGGATGGATTCATGAGTAGAATGGAGGGGACAAAGAACAGAATCAGTGAACTTCAAGGCAACAATAGAAATGACCCAGTTTGAACAACAAAGAGAAGAGACTGAAAGAATAATGAACACAACTTCAGAGACCAATGGGACTAAAACAAAATGTCTAATATTTATGTCACCAGAGTTCTGGAAGAAGAGGGGAATAAGGGTGGAGGTGAAAAGTACTCAAAGACATATGGCTGAAAACTTGCCAAATTTGGCAAAAGACCTAAGTCTACAGATTCCAGAAGCTGAGAAAACTCTAAAAAGGATAAGGCCAAAGAAATCCACACCAAGATAAAACATAACCAAACTTCTGAAAACTAATGACAAAATTTTTGAAAGCAGTGAGAAAGAAATCAACATTATCTTTAAGAAAAGGTGTTTTGTTTTGTTTTGTTTGCACAAGAGATTTCTCATCAAAAACCGTGGATGTCAGAAGGAAGTGAACAACACTTTCCAAATGCTGCAAGAACTGTCAATTCAGAATTCTATATACAGAAAAAATATTCTTCAGGGATGAAGGGTAAATCAAGACATTAAGCCTACCTTAAAACAATGGCTATTGGAAGTTCTCTAAACAGAAAGGAAATGATAAAAGAAAGAGTCTTGGAACATGAAGAAGGAAGAAGGAAAAATTGTAAAAGTAAAACAATTTCCTTTTCCTTTTGAGTTTTCTGAATTATGCTTGATGGTTGAAGCAAAAATTATAACACTGTCTGATATGGTTCTGAGCATATGTAAGAGGAAATGTGTAAGAAAATTATACTATAAATTGAGTAAAGGAGGTAAGGTTTCTCTACTTGAACTGGCAAAATGATGACATCAGTAGGCTATTATGTAATACCTAGGGAAACCACTAGAAAAAAGATACACAGCTATATGCTTAAAAATAGATAAAATGGAATTCTAAAAAATATTAAGCCAAGGGAAGGCAGGAAAAAGAAAACAGAAATGAATAATAAGACAATACAAGAAGGAAACAATAAAAACAACAAAAAAGACAAACTGAAATCCTAACATATGTTAAATGTAGATGGTTAAAATAATCAATTAAAATGGAAATATACCAAAATGTATGGGGCACAGCAAAAGCAGTGCTAAAAAGTAAACAGCACTAAACGCATATATTATAAAAGAAGAAAAGTCTCAAGTCAATATCTAGGCTCCCACCTCAAGACCTAGAAAAAAAGAAGGGTAAAATAAACCCAAAATAACAAGGAAGGAAGCAATAAAGACCAGAGCAGAAATCAATAAAATTGAAGACAGAAAAATAATGGAAAAAATTAATGAGACAAAAAACTGGTTCTTTGAAAAGATTAAGAAATTGGCAACTTCCTTCAAGACTAACAAAGAAAAAAGTTGGGAAGACACAAATTACCAGTATCAGGAATCAATAGGGGATATCCCTAAAGACCTTGAAGACACCAAAAGCATAAAAAATGAATATAATGAACAACAGTACATAAATTAGTTTGATAACTTAGTTGAAATGTACTAACTCCCTGAAAAGCACAAACTACCACAATCACCTGATAGGAAATAGATCATTTGAAAAGCCCTATCACTATTAAGGAAATGAATATGTAATTTAAAAACTCCCCAAAAAGAAAACTCCAGGCTCAGATTTTTTTCACTGAAGAATTCTATTGAACATTTAAAGAATTAGTACCAATTCTATACACTCTGTTCTGAAATAGAAGAGAACACTTCTTAGTTCATTTTATGAGGTTAGTATTAACTGATACTAAAACCAGACAGAACTACAGACCAGTATCCCACATGGATTCAGATGCAAAAGTCCTTAACATGATATTAGCAAATAGAATTCAACAATATGTTAAAATAATTACACATCATTAGCAATTGAGGTTTAGCCTTCAGGGATAAGAGGCTTATTCAGTGTCAGAAAATCTGTCAGTGTAATCCACCATATGACAGGCCCATTCGTGGGAATGTAAAATGGTACAGTCACTTTCAAAAACATTTGGGCAGATTCTTAAAAACTTAAACACACACCTACCATATGACCCAGTCATCTTACTCCTTTTTTTCCCCCAAGAGAAAAAGAAAGCACACGTCCATACAAAGACTTGAACACAAACGTTCATTGCAGTTTTATTTGAAATAGCCAAAATATAGAAACAACCCTAAAGCCCAATAACAGATAGATGTAAAAAGTAACTGATACATCCATTCAATGGAAAACAGTTCAACAATAGGAAGGAATGGTCTATTGACACATATAACACGAGTTTATCTCAAAATAATTATGCTGAGTGAAAAAAGCCAGCCAAAAATAGAGCATGTGCTGCATGATTCCAGATAAAAATTCTGAAAAAGTCAAACTGATCCATAGTGACAGAATGCAGATTCTTGCCTTTCCCCCTGCCCCTTCCTAAAGGGCTCTAGTTTTGTTAGCCCTTTTCTGTTTGCATTTAAAGGTGCCATCCTTTCCCCCCACCTTCCTTTCCCCCGCCGTGAGGGGATCTCGCTGCACTCTCTGGAACCTCACTTATGTTCTAGGCTCAGCTGCCAGTCTCACCTGCATCTCAGCTCTCCTTCCTGAGCTCCAGATCTCAACCTCACAGGGCCTGGTAGACCTGTCTGTTTCTGCCTCCCACACTACTGTCTCTGCCTTCCTTGTTCACTTTTTCAGGGGATGCACCATCCTCTCCAGTGCCCA